TAATAGTGTGTGTGTGTGTGTGTGTGTGTGTGTGTGTGTGTGTATATATATATATATATAAAAAATAACCTAAATAACCTGTTTCATATTCTCCATGTGCAACATTTTTAAATGCTTAGCAACCTATGTCAAGCAGAAACCGAGTACAAAGGTCATAACTAGAAGAGATAATTGTTTTCTTCACTTCTATATTTGCTGTTCTATGTTTTAAGAAAAAATTGAAGAACTTGTTTGTAAATAGCAATAATCTATATACATATACATATATTTTTTTTTTTTATTCCTGTAAACTCCCAGTGGAGCATAGGGCCGTAACAACACCTCACCAACAGAAAGTTGTTGTTGCAGTTACTTGTAGCAGGTTGGTTTTTACAGGGTGGAGTTGCTAGCCCCGCACCCAACCCTCCTCCTTTTTCATCCTGGACTTGGGACCAGGCAAAGGCGGAGGTTGGCATATTTGGTGTGACGGGGATTTGAACCCGTGACCCTCAGATTACATGCCGGGCCTATAGACATGTATAATGTTTAATAATTGAAATGTGACTTTGCACGAGTGCATGTGAACCTTGTCATTGTAACTTCTGTTAGCCAGGCATGGCTGAAAGGTCAATATAATAATATATATATAGTGTGTGTGTGTGTATAATGTTATGAGATTTAAGCTATTCTAGAATGTAAGAGAATTTATATTTATTTCTTAATTTTTTTATGGTGGTTGCAAGATTGGTTAAATCTACCAAACCCATAGAGATCAGTTACTGAAAATAACAGATAAAATAGTTTGTTTCTTAAGAAACTTTTGATAACTATCTGGATGTTATAAAGATTTCACATGTGAAATTTTCTGATGCATAAAAGTATTTTAGTCTTAAAATGAAAATTACTTTGCATGATAGATAGAAAAAAAGGCAGGAGAAAAACATTGCTTTACAAACCTTAAGACCTAAGTTATTGAGTATGAAAGCACTGTAATGTTTACTGATAATCTGCCAAATTTTCTTAACATTTGCTTATTAATTTAAGTTATAGCTTAAACTATAACAAGCACAAAATGGTTATGAGGTCAGTCCCAGGGACTGAGCCCGTGCTGAAATACCATATTTGGTATTTGATATGAAATCAAATGCAGTTTCATACAAATTTCAGAGTTTGTTTTTATTTCTAAAAAAGCTAATCCTGTCTTGCTTCCAAGTGATTGCTATCCATTTTGTTTTGATAAATTGTTGTATGAATCATCCAGGCACACACATACACCAGTAAACTTTACTTCCTTTTTTTTTTCTTTTCTTTTAGATGCTGCCTATTTGGCTACTTCAATTTTCTTGGTGCACTGTGGTTTGACAACTCTGAAAGATGAGGACAAAATGCCTGGAAAGTAAGTGTTACATCTATAACTGAAAAAACTATGTCAGTCAGTCCACTTGTGTGTGGTCATACCCCTGGAAATCCAATATTTCTCTTGGTTAATTGTAGTGATATTTTTACATTTATACATGTGCAAAACTGATGTTTATAACATTAAAGACAATTACTTCAGTAACATGAACATACAAGGAAACACCTTCCCGTGGTCTGTAAGTAACAGAATACAATTACATATCAATAAAAATTCCAGGAGGCTCCTAAGAATCACCAATTAGGCCTAAAGCTTAAATATGTTTCATTAGCACAAGTTTACCTGCTATATAATATACAAGTTAGCCTTAACCCTTCAACTGTGGTTGAAAATATATGATGCAAGCATTTTGTGTGCAAAATATTAAATGGCCCACCTCAAAAATTCATGAAAATTTGCACATGGGGTGGTAGGCTGACTTAGATAAGCTGTAAACAAAGGGTTAATTGTCACTGCCACAACTTTATTAATTTTTTGATGTTCTACAGCTAACAGTTTGTGAGAAATAAGGTAATTACAGATTTCAGACAATATACGAAAGCAACTTACACACACGCACGAAGTTTACAAAAACCATGCTAACAGTTGATTTTAAAAATTGAATGTTTTATAAGTATTATACATTTTCAATTATCTCAATACAGGTGCCTAAAAATCAACAATTAGCCCAAAAGTTTAAAAAGGCTTTATACATATAGCAAGAGTTTACCTACTAGGTTATTTTCATTATTGGTGATAGTGGATCTGATGCTTTACTAATACTTTAAGGGAGAGTGTAAAAAAGAGTTTATACCATTATGGAAGGGGGGGAAAAGTGAAATGGCAAGAAATCAAAACAGTTGATATTTTTTTATGCTTTTTGATACCATAATTTTAAAAATTCTTTATAATGTTACTTTTCAGAAAAAATATGAATATCCTAGTCAACAATGGATATTATCCATAAAGATAAGGTAATTGTACAAAATGTATTGTGTACAGATAGATATTTTGTTTATAGTTATTCTGTACTACTTTAAATCTAAATACAGTAACTCTATTCTGCTTGTATATACTATCCTGCTTAATAATGTGAAAACAATCTTTCGACTTTGACTCGTATGATACAACACGTGCTTCATATGTGAGGGCAAGGATTCAATCCCATCAAAATCTATTTTCTTATAAAAAAATTTTGTTTGCCAAACAATGTTTCAGTAGTCAAATAAAGTGTAGTACATACATTGTACGAGAAGTTCAAATTTCTCTTTGTCTTATACCTTACAAGTTAAGGAGAAAGCTTGATTCAAGAGTGTTTTATTAACAGTTATGAAATCTATTATATCTCCAATATGTCTCTTAAAGTATAAAATCATTATGGTCATATATATATAAAAAAGGTTTTGTGATATTTTAAAATTTAGTTATCCTTGACCAAAATTGTTAAATTTGACATAAATCATAATTTTACTTTCTTAAAACTTGCATACTGTGTGTTCTATTTTTTTGTCTTGAGGAAAATTATAATACCTTGGTCAAGGAAGCAGTATACTAGAATCTAAAACCAGTGTCAACTAACTGTTTCTGTTGTGTTTGATCCTACACTTATGCTGAAGAACTTACAAGAGGATAAATGATTACTGCAAAGTTTGTTACCTGTTTCATTAGCTTATTGTTTTCCATAGGGGCGGTGTCCTTACCCCTGGTGCAGCATTTGCCAAGACTTCCCTCCTTGGACGTCTTCAAAGCCGTGGCATTGATTTTATCGTTAATGATCCGTAAACATTCTTGTTTTTTCACAATTTTGAAGCAGTAGTCATATGTTTTGCTGCAAAAAGTGCTTCATGCTTAATATCTTGCACAGTGTTTTTGGCTTCAAAGAAACCAATCTATTTTTCTATAGCATGTTACCTTTTGTAATGGAGTTGTATTTACGTAATGTATTAATGCCTTTATGGGAGAAGTGTATGTGTGTGCATTGTGATGAAGCAAAACAAAAAACAAAAATGCAGTTTTACTGAAGTTTCCAAATAAAAAATATACACTAACTGCATCTGGTGAGATGTAATGTCTAAGATTATTTTTTGTGATAATTTATAGTACTTAAAGCATAAACTTTAAAATGTTATTTTGGTTTGGAATTAACAATGAAAGATGATACTTGTGTTTCTGATTTTTGATTTATACATTTTTTTTAAGTGGGTAATGAAAAGTTTGAAAATAATATAACCTTTACTTTTTTGTGTGTGAAGTTAGCAGATATTTAAATTACCCCTAAAAGATTGCAAGGTTATTGACCATTTGTTGCACACTGAATTATTTACAGGGTTTAAGATAAAGAACTTGATTAAAGTTTAATAATCGTTAGCTGTTAACCAGATGAACTTTAGGTTACATAGAGGGTTTACAGGTAAAAGATTAAGTAGTTTCTAAAGTATTTGATAGATTAGGAAGTTTATGGTGAAGTAGAGAAGTTACTTTTTGAGTAGTACTACAGACTTACAGTAGATATGTTTTGTATATTAAGTATTCCTATGTGAAAAAGTTGATAAGGATACTTTACATTAACAGCTCAGGGTTATCAATGTGGTACAAGTAAATAACACTATATTCATGCACAGTGTCTTGTGTGGAGTTAAACTACTTCAAAAAAAAAAAAACTGTATTGCACTAAACTACTTAGCAGCTCTTGCTTTTAGGGTCCAGTATATGAGACAAATAAATAATACTTAAACCAACACTGTTTGATTTGTTTTTTTAATCGATGACACTGTTACTATAATAAGAGTAATATCACAACTGTATAATGGATCCTATGCTTATTTAAACTCTCAATAATATGAATTTTTCTAGAAGTCAAACCAACATAGTGTAAAATATCTAATACTCAATTTTATACATTCTTCTAGTTTGACTAGTTAAATGTGTAAGATAAATTTATGGTACACATGCTCAATCTTGGATAATGAGTGTGCTGTTTGCTTTAATGAAGTTTCACTTCAAAGGTTTTAAATACATAAAAGTAATAACAAATTTAATTTTATTGTAAAAAAGCAATTTAATAATTCATATCTCTAGTAATTCTTTCAGTTTGTACAAAAAACACTTTGTTAAATGTTAGGGATCACAGAACACGTAGAGAAGTATACCTACAGAGGGATGAATATCAGTAGTGATAGCAACTGTGGAAAATGTAGAAACCAAAGGGTAAAAGTGGGGGGAAAAAAATCTTAAATCTCACAATTACTCTGGAGAAATGTCAAACTAGAAATGTAAAATGTTACTTATTGTCAGTCCTACTCTGAAAGGTGGAAACATGGACTTTTGTCTGCTGAAATAAAATGACAGTTGGATGCATTTGAAATGTGTTGATTGACAATCAGCTGTGTAAAAAGAAACCTTGTAAGTCATAAAATATGCAAAGAGAAAACTGCTAGATATATATGTGGGAAATATAAGATGCAACTAACTTGGACATATAATTGGATCTGAAAGAAAGTTGGTCAAATGGAATAAAAGAGGAGGAAAAACAGGCAGAAGCTCACTTGGTATTTGAAAGTGACTTGGCAGTGAGAAGTTTGAATTAGGAAAGTAAAACCATGCAGAACCATAGTTGTTGATCCTCAAAATTAAGAAAAACACTAATGGAAGAATTCTAAATTAAATTTGGTAAATAAGCTACAGCAACTGAGCAGTAGTGTTATTCTATCCAACAGTACATTGATAGTAAAGGGTGTACCATGAGTAAGTTTATCCCAATTAATAAACTGTTTATTCAGTCAGCTATGCAGTACAGTGTTGTAACTGAAACCACAAGGTGAATGAAGTTTTTTATGAAACTTTTCTTTCTTAAAGCAAATATTCAATCTGTTTGCCTTCCTAACTGACAGAGTTTATAATAAAACAATCTGTAGATCACAAGGGACCAATGCTATCATACAGCGAGCTAAAATGTTAAAAAAAAAAGCCGACCCTTAACTTTAAAATATTTATTAAGCTTTCCTTAAACTCAGTTTACTGCTTCCACAGGCCATATACTTAGAAAGACAACTATCTGAGTTGAAGATGACTCACCACATCAAAATTTGTCACCCCTAGTCCTACCATTCTCACCATTAAGTAGAAAAAAATGTTGCATCATTACTATCAATTTTCTTAATCCTAAGCACCTCAATCAGATCCACTTTCTCTTTTAAAGATCTTAACATGTCATCATATATGATGGTCTTTCCCTCCCAGGTATCATCTTAGTAGCTCTTCTCTGAACCCTTTTCCAACAATTCAATACATCCTTAAGGTAAGGCATGGCCTGGTGGTTAAGGCACTCTATTTGCAATCTGGGGGTTGTTGGTTTGAATTCCTGTCACTGATCATGCTTGGTTTTTCAGCCATGGGGGCAATATAATGTTATGGTCAATCCCACTATTCATTAGTAAAAGAGTAGTTCAAGAGTTAGCAGTGGGTGGTGTTGCTTCCCTCTAGTTTATCACCACTAAATTAAGGATGGCTAGTGCAATAGCCCTCATGTAGCTTTGTACAAAAATCAAAGAAAGCCTAAGGTAAGGCATCCAAGGTTAAACATGATACTCTAAATATACAATTAAATTATATACTCTTTTAGACTTGCATTCAATATTTCTGTAGATGCAACCTAAAATCCTAGTTGCCCTACCCCTAGCAACAGCACACCACTTGGGTGAGCTTAAGAGACTAATTAATTGTAACAGCATAATTATTAAGGTTATTCCCATCAAAATTATGATAAACACATGGCTTTTAATCATAATAAATACAAAGTAATCTTCCATTTACTTGCCAAATGATCTAAATCTTTTTGTAAAGTAAAAATATTCTCTCGCAGCCATAAAAATTAAGTATCATCAGCAACTTCACATAATTTATCATTCATTTATTTTTCTACGTTGCAGATATAAATGGAAAATGACCTAACTGAGCCCAGAGCTACCCTAATTGTGATACTCATCTGGTGTGATTGAACTCCATTTATAACAACCCTCCACCCAGCCAGTTTTCTATTTAATGAGCCAGTACATCTATTTTTGTTTGTTTTTTAAACTAACTTTATAGGCGATACCTTCTCAAATACGTTTTGAAAATCCAGATACACTAAATAAACATTTTCAAAAGATTATTAGGGCAAGATTTTCCCTTAGTTAAACCATTTTGATTATTCAACAAAATTTTAAACTTCATTAAATGACTGCCACACATCATTTATCAGACTTTCACAAACTGTTCCCACCACCGATTTGAGATTAATAGGTTTATAATTGTCAGGATAATTTTTATCACCTCCTTTGAAAAATAACCATGATTAGTAAACTTCTAATAGTCTCGCATCTGCCCATTATTCAAGGACTTGCAAGAAAAAAAAAAAAAGTAGGCTTGCATATCCAATCCTTAACAAACTCATGATTAATGTGACTATTGTTCATTCTTGTTTCCACATAGCAATTATTCAGGAGGAGGAAAGTGCTTAATCTTCATTAGGAAAAGTTTTTGAAAAAGTAAATTTAATAACCCAACAATTTCATTATCATCAGATATAAGCCTTTCCCTCAAATCTCCTGCTCCCATCCTAACATGTTTTTTATATAAATCCTTAATGTTTTTTTTTTTTACATTTTCAATCAACCTTTCTTTATATATGCTTTTTGATTTCCTGTTTGACAAACGTTGGTCTTCTATAATTTTATAAGTCTTATTGTATCAACTGACAGAATTATTTACACAATGGTCCATGTGTGTGTGTGTGTGTATTATATGCTTGTATTCATTTGTACTCTGGAAGTATAATTTCAGTGGCTATTTTCAATAAATGATGAGAATCAGTTATTACATTGTTTTATAATCACACTTAAAATGTACTGAGTGGGGCATAAGTTTACTGAAGGATTGTGTAGTGTGAGGAATATTCAAAGAGTAAGTTTATTAACTCAAATCTTACATTCAACAGAAATTTGTAACTCTTAATATATATATATTATATATAACTATAGACTACACAGGATTTGGTACATTTTATTTGATTTACCAAGTTCACTGTTATCTCTGGTATTACAACTTAATACATCAGAATTTAATGTTTTCATGCTTATTAATGAGCTATTTCTGTAGCACATATTTCATCAGTAAAACCATTTTCAGAATTGAGGCATATTTTTACAGAATGCTATTTCCCCTTATGGTTTTTTCAAGGCATTAACCCTCCACCGATCATAGTAACAGTTACTACAACATAAAAGTCAAACAGCATAATGTAACAATGAATATTTTAAAGCATAATTCCTTAGTGAAGAATACAACTACTTATAATAATATGTAACAGGCAGAGACAAAGAGTACAATCCCAGCTCTGCAGTGTTTTGAAGTTTTGCGGCAACAAATCTAAAATATACACCAAACAATCTCTCGTACACAAAAATGTCAGTCTAGGGGAAAATATCTTTTATTTCGCTTTATTATTGAGTTTAACCATTTTTCAAAATTCCATCATAACTAAAGTGGTTAGCCTTTAGGGTAACCTTAACCTATGACATGCATTAATTAATTGGTGCTTGGCAAATAGTCAACCATTATACCAAATTTGATCAAAATCAGTTTAAAACTTTAGTTCTCTGCTCAGAGAAGAATGAAAACAATATTCCCACACAACTGAGTATGGGTTGGATCTTTAATCAGGCTCTCCTTGTACTTTGAAGTCATAGCCCATATTGCATGTAATACCATACACCAAATCGTATTTTTCATGCATTCACCGTTAGAACCTAAGTCAATTAGAACACACTGCTTTTTGCCATTTATCTAAAGGTTTAAGTGCAGAGTAAACTGTTTCTTGCGAGATTGACCTGGTTTTTTGGTTAAACTATATGGGAAAGAGAGATTTCCTCACAACCTCTAAATACATTGGAAAATTTAAGGTTGATAAATCTAAACATAGAATACATATAGATTACAACTAAAACTAAAGGGTACATTTTATTAGCCCTATATTTTTCAAAATAATTACAGAAGATGTTAAGGAACCCATCTTCACTATACAGGTAATAAAAAACAAACTGAGATGATATCTCAGCATTTAAGTAATAAACTGAATGCCAAAAGAGTAACTGCATTCCATGCAACCTACATCTTAACAACTAATGCAAAAGAAACAAAATTTATTTTATAGAATAACATGCGATATATATGCCATAAAAAACATACCAGAGAGAGAAAGTCATTAGATTAAGAACGTCTTTGTGTTACAGCGATAGATGACTGCAGTAGCAATGTGCTTTATTAATAAGCATGGATTATGTCAGACTAACCATCGTTATAACACTGTTATATTACAAAGTTCAGATTATTCACCTATGACTTTTATAAATACCTTTATTTTTGAATTGTATCAGCTGTTAATTGTACCAAGACTACTTTCTCGATCAGTAGAGAATTAGACCAAAAAAAAATGATGAAACACTGAGACAAGTAGAAGCGTTTCACTGCTAGGTTGTTCCTTTTTGCTAAACATTTTTATATTTTGATTTCTATTTTTGTTTTGTGACTGTGTGTGCATGTTAATATGTATTCATTCAATATATTCAAACTTGGGCTTTTTGCTTTTTTTTTCATAAATACTAATTCTAACTCGAAATAATTGCTTATATATTTCTTATGCAAAAACAACCCGTTTCTAGAGATAATACAGTAATTATCAAATTGATTGACTTTACCATCCCCATAGATTCTGTTTTTTTTTTGTCCAAATGCAGTTTCTGTTTCTTCTAATTGATAAACCTCTTTTGAAAGAACATATTACATAATCAAAACATGCTTTTTTAAATATTCTTTCTTGTCCAATAGAGAAAAGACGGTTTTAAAAGATGTAACTATTCATAAGCAGTGACCTTAATTAAATTACACTAGTTTGTTGGAATGAAACAAGTAACAGGTCGACTAAGTTGAGAAATACAATCTATGAGCACTTGTTCAATAGAGAAAAGACGGTTTTAAAAGATGTAACTATTCATAAGCAGTGACCTTAATTAAATTACACTAGTTTGTTGGAATGAAACAAGTAACAGGTCGACTAAGTTGAGAAATACAATCTATGAGCACTTGGTCCAATTTCAACAATAAAATTACAGAAGCAACAAACAAAATGAACAGAAGACATTAAGTGTATATTTTACATAATTTTATTCCATGTAAAATGGATCAGGAACAATAACCACCTACGTTTAAACCACATGTGTGAACATAAGCACAAGTAATAAGTTAATGCAAGAATACACCACCATAACGTAGGAAGCAGAAACAACACGTCAGTTGCTTATACAGTTTACATCTTGTTATCATACATTTGTTCTTCTCCTAATGAAAATTAAGAAGTCATATTTTAGTAACAACAGCAGAATATTGAGTGATTGAGCAACATGGAAATTTTATTCACAACATTTTTACAAGAGCAATGGAAGACACTGATCCAAGTGCTAATCCTAAACCAAGACACATAACCATCATCGATCCAACTTGCTCACGGAAGCGTTGACTCACTTGTCTGAAACACAAAACATAGCTAAGTGGTTATACTTGTAGAAATATTACAAGATTCTATTTTTTTATTATGTGTATATGAAAACAAAGGAAATTCATTTAGTTGGCTAAACTCAATTTATCCATATAAATGAACTTATAGGTGATTTTCAAACTTTGTAAAAACTTTTTTCTTTCAGTTTACCAAAATAAAAAAATACATATAAAAAGTAAAGTTTGTCTAACTCGTACAACTACTTTCGAACATCATTAAAAAGCAGTAGATACTTAACATTATGGTAATAAAGTAAGTTAATTTTAAAAAGTAGGCTTGTTTGTTGTTAAGTACAAGGCTACACAATTGGTTATTTGTACTGTGCCCACTAAAGGTATCAAAACCTGATTTTTAGCATCACGAATCCAGAGACTTACTGCTGAGCCACTAGGGGGCTTAAAAAGTAGGATCACAGCATTTACATAATTTATAAGTTAACAGCTTGCTGCAGAAGAGAAGCAAAAGAATAATATTTTCTCAGGCTTTTTCATATTTCTTCTAATAAGTAAATAAAAATCTACCTTATTACACAAAAAAACCTAAGCTACAAAAATACATCAGGGTATTAATAATGATGTTAAATATACAAGAAACTTAATATTTATCATAATTAAGTTGTTTAATAAGAACTTACTTTGGAGCATGCATCATGGCATTGGAGAAGAAGTACCCATTTGTGACAGAAAACACTGCTACAAAACTTATATAATATACGTCACTATCAAATATCACTGGTAGATTATTTCTTGGATGAGCATTACAAAGCATGAACAATGGTACAAATGCCACTCTCAGGCAGGTTAGACTCAACAGAGTTAATCGAAACTTTGGCGGCTAGAGTGAAAAACAAAACATCACAAGTTTTGAATGTAATAAAATCAAAATGTTCTGCAGTGGAAACCTATAATCTTAAGTTACTTGTTCAGAAGTATTAGTGTCAAGTTTTGCTTATTTTAACTAATAAAAAGGCTGTTTGGAAACTAAATAGATGCAAAATTCTATAAAGAACCTGAGCTATAAAATTTGTGCACAAATTTAAATTAAAATATCAAGCACAATTTCCGAAACTAAAAAGAAGTCATAAAATATAATTCTCCCTTTTATGTATACTTTGAAATCATATAACTATGGTCTGAAAGCCTTTTACAAGTTGGCAAAGCATGATTATAATTAATTATACTTGTCATAAGTTGTTATGTTAGGCCTATTATATTTTTTAACACTACATTCTTAATCTTGTCCCTTAGGAATTAGAAGAGTGCATAACACTGTAATAATTGTTGCTGTAACAAACGGCCCATATAAAGTGTTCCAGCTACTATTGTGTTCCTTGTATCCAGTTGGACTGAAGAGCTCTGGATTGAGCGAAATGCATCGTCGATAATAGATATGATAAATGTAGTGTGGTTGAAATGCTATCATTATATACTCTTCTTGTTCTTGAAAATCCCTTAGGGACTATATTAAGAATATAGTGTTAAAAAATATAATAGGCCTAACATAATGTTTTATGTCAAATATAATTAATTATTTTAAATTATACATCTTGTGTTTTTCAAGATGAAAACAATGTTCTCCCTCTTAATTCATAACACTGTAAATGTAAACTATTTTCCATGCTAGGAATTATTCACAGTTCTTTTGTTATTTATTTCAAGTTGCTTCTATGGAGCATTTACATTTGTATGACCAACCATAGCTTTGTCCAGTGGCAGCTACAAAATAAATATTATTCTTAACTTTGCTTTAAACAAATTGAAGTTTATTACAAGAAACTTCTATCAATGTAAATAAAATAATGACCTATATCTCCAGAATATATCTTTGTAAGGTCAATATTTATGCCTTTGTCAGGAACTGTTGTTAACCTACAAGCTTACTAATTCATTCGATTAGCAAGTTTGTAGATTATGAAAAGCTCCTGATGAAGCTGTAATAGAACATTGAGAATAAAGATACATTCTGGAGATATGTCATTATTTTATATACATTGATAGAAATGACAAAAATATTACACTTTAACACCATCAATCAATGTTAAATACAGAAAAATGATAGGCATATATATAAACTTCTGTACATCAAATGAGCATTTCTGATGCTGTTTCTTTAGTTCATAAATGTGACTTTAGACAGTGTAACTTTATTTCAAGAATACTCTCTTATTGAGAAAACTTTTAATATATTATAATTTTGAGCACAGATAAATTATAAAATTGTTACTACTCACTATTGTTAACCAACCTCCAATAATCCTTCCTGAAAAATCCCCAATATTAAACAGGAGAAATGAAGTCACTGGAATGAAGAACCTTCCTGAAAAGAAAATTAAGTGAAAATAACTAACTTTAGTAATTTTTTGTGACATTATTGCACATTAACAGCTAATAATTGTACAGCACGACAATTATACAAAAAATGAGCAAGAACAAATTCAAAAGTATACAAAAAAAATCAAAACAGGCTACAAAGATTATCTGAATCATGACAACATACAGATGATAATTAACTTTAAAGTTTTAGGAATACGTAATTTTATTTACTTACAAGTGGCACAAATACTCATATAAAACTAAAAAATACAATATAAACATTTCATTATTATATGTATAAACAAAGGGATCAAAGATTTGTTTCTTTCAAAAAGAGAAGCAACTAAACCACATTTAAGTTTTGTTAGCTTTTGTAAGAAAGTTTCTATTGTTGTAAATAAGTTTATACTGACTTGCGATCAGAAAATTTAATGTTAAAACTCAAAATTGTATTTTCCCCAACATTTACAGAACTATTTCAAGTTTTTAAGATCTTAGAAGTCTTACGACTTCATCAGCTTTTGAAACCATTTATGCACCAAATTGTTTGCGAGACCATGGTTGGTTGTAGGATCCCTAACAACATACGATTCACACAAAAAAATACTATCAATAGTTCAATTAATATCACTAATTGTTTCTGGGGTTTCTTAATGTAGAAAATGAACAATTTCACCCAGTATTTCAGCCTTAACGTTGTAGTCTTCATTCATGAGAAATGACAAACTTGATACATGTTTATACATATTTAGAGAGAACCTATATGATTCTCTATTTGTGTTTTCACCATGCAGGTCTGGCCTGAAGCTGTCTCGATTATTATGGTATTTTGGGCAAGCCTCAGTGTTTATCCACCCATAATGGTTTTGGTTGTTTCTATGAGCCATGATTCGGGAAGTGCTTGGTCAGGTAGTCATTGTTTCTGTTTTACTGTTATATCTTCCCCTCATTATTACCCCTCTTGCTGCTGCTGTTCAGGTTGTGAAGTTATTTGTATTAATAATAAAAGATGTGTAGAAAGAAAGCAACTGAGAAGTTTTATGTTTGCAACATTTCCTTTTGAGAGCCTTTGTTGAACTCTAAACTGTAATTATAACATTTCGAGTGGTGATTCATGTGAAATTTTCATAAATCTTAGACTGAGACTGTAAATAGAACCTCGTATTAACCCTTTCACTGCTGGCATCATATTGAATAAATTTTATGTTTGTGCCTCTTAAATAGCTAAAGTTCCTTGTTTCTATCTGAAATGTAATCCTCACATGCTTAACTCAATGCTTCATCATCCAGCCTTCTTGAACACCCATTTTCTAATATATGTTCAATACTTTTAAGTAATCTCTAGTATAGGTCACATAAATAAATTAACTTTTCATGTGATAATTTAAATTCACATAATTTTCAATACAAAGTTACACTAAAAGGTTATTACTGAAATAATATTCCAGTAAGCAATCATTCCAATTCATATACAAGTAAAGGCCTTGAAATTCAACATTTTATTTTCATCATGGTTGGTAATCAAATAAACAACAGACCACTCTTGGATAATTGACAAGATTATCAGTACACATACATTTATTAAAAAAAAATCTAAACTACCTTCTCATCATTCTAAAAGACACAAATCTAAACTTACCTGTCTGCAAATTTCAAAAAATGATAGATGAGGATCTGATTCTGTTAGTGATGACATCTTTTTGGAAATTTCTTTTAAAACAAAAATATATTTATTGAAGTATGTGTAATTTATTATTATTTAATTTAAATCAATCAGTGTTAAAATAATAAATTCAAGGTATATGATCATTGTCCTTCAACAATATAATTACCTGAGGAAAGTCAAAGATATAAGTAACTTTGAGAAGAAATCCTGTGAGAATACTTAAGTGTTAAAATATTCCTTTGAAAACTTCACGAGTTGATATTCACACATATGTATATCAAAAAAGCTTAAAGGATTACAAAGCCATCAATCATTTATCAAATTTTTGTGAAAGAATTTTTATGTAGTTATTTCCTATCTTTAAAATCAGTAATGAAAAATGTAGTCATATTTATCACTATAGCACTAGGGTAACCAATAAGCATCTTACGAGCTACACGTGGCTCTTCATTAGTTGCAGAGTAGCTCTTTGAATGCTTTTAATTTCTGGGCAAGCATACATATTTTGTGTATTTATTTACATAAATGTTACATGGCAGAGGGCAAACATCATCAACAACTCAACCATTGAATAGTTGTTACTTAATTTCTGTAGTGCATATTGGTGTATAGAAGACATATTAATACTAGAAATAAATGACCTTATAACACCAAACATAGAATAGTTGTACTGGTACAGGTATCCCTCAATTTATGAATGTTTGGTTTGCTTTTTCACTATCACATAATTAACTTTTATGGGCATGTTGTTCGAGTTGCATTCACATTTTTAACTATTACAAAAACTGATGTAAAAGTCATAAAAATTTTGCCTGTTATGAAAAAATATTTCATTATTACAAAATTCAGATAGCCTATTTTTCTTTGTTATAATATTGAAATACTTTTAGTTACTGAGCTATTTTTCACTACTACACAATTCAGACAGCAATATAATTTTAAATGTCAGAAATATCAAATACAGTAGAGTGCTATGAATGAAATTTCAAACAGTGCATCACTCCTTCATTGAGCTGTGTCATACAATCCTCCACTGTAAGATCTCTCTACACAAGCATCTTGCACAGTGTTTGAATGTCAGTCAGCCTTTGTTCTCCATCTCGTGTCTAATGTTGTCAAGTGACCCAAAGTTTTTTTTTATTATATTATTATCAGGTGTAATTTACCTGAACCCTCAAGATGCCTCGCAAGAGACCTTCCTCAAGCTCAACTGTTGCTCCAGCAAGACATTCTCACCAAGCAATGATGCTAGATATGAAAATAGACATAATTAAATGTATCAGTATTTTTCTTACATTATAGTGGAACAAAATGTATGTTAGCATGGCCAAAATTTTGAGTCAGGAACGCATCCCCTATTTTTTACCTTTAAAATAATGGAAAAAGCATTTTCGATTTGCTTTACATTCTCTGCGAACGTATCCCTATTGTAAATTGAGGGATACCTGTAAAATATCAACGAGAATACTACTACTTACTGCAAGTCATTTTTCTGGACCTTGAGCTTTTACAAGTTAGCCAAACCTGCTATACTAGCTATATTGAGTATTTGCTTTGAATAGTCTGTGGGCAAAGTAATTTTCATGTTAAAATTAAAAATACTTTTTGTCATCTCAAAAATCTCAAATTTCCTTTGTGTAATCCCCAAAACCTCCCATATACATTTCAAAC